ATAATTATTATAATTTATCAAGTCTACATAAATAATTCTAAGTATTATAATAATTATTCTATTAATAATATTTTTATTTGCATAACTATGTTGAAATTAAAAATAATTTATATATATGTGGATTTGATAAATTATTTATTTTATTGATTTATAAAATAATAATTTTGAATATTATTCTTATTTTTTGTATTTGAAGTTATTGAATATTTTTAGATTAAATGTAATAATTAATAATAAAAGATAATTTATTTCACTTATTTTATCATGAAATGTAAGGTGGCTTGATCAGTCGTGGCATATCCCATATCTTCCCCTACTGATACCGATACGATACGCCCCGTATCGGGCATATCATGTCGATATTTTAATCCATGTTTGCTCTTCTTTTAATTAATTATTAATGGTGTTTGGCAGCTATAGTATAATTGGGTCCAATTGTCCCAAGAACCGATTGATTCGATTATGGGTATAAAGTTATAGACCCTATAGGGTCTAGGCCAGTTCCAGGTCCATTATATTTTTTGCTGGTTCGAAACTGGTTCTACCAAATTCCGACCCAGAACCGACCTGTTGGCAGCCCTTCCTTAAGATAATCCTCCTCATTTTTGAACCTAATGAAGATATGCTTAGAATCCAACAAAGAAAGAAACCCAAATCTCCTGAGTGGGCTTAAATGATCACACAATATAAGATCTTTGATCGTTGATAAAGATGGTTTGCTATACGTGCATTTGGTAATCAGCGTCCATTTGAAAACCTCATACGAAACATGAGAGAAACTCTTCTGGCCAGAAAACATGGAACTCTTCTGGCAAGAAAACATGGAACTCTTCTGGCAAGAAAACAGCTGGTTCCCCTTTAAATTGGTGCCAATCAGTACTGAAATGTCAAAAGAAAGGTTGGGATATCGGAGAGTTTGGTGAGAATTGCAGTGAAAGAGGGATTCGGATCACCATCTAGAGCTTCCATGGGAGACTGATTAGGGTTTTGTCATTTTGAAAAACCAAAAAGAACCCAATACTCCATTTCATGCACCACTAGTTACAAAATAGGTAGCATTTATATTAGGGAAAATTTTCGATTAGTAACTTGTACTTTGGGCTTAGTGCTATTTTGGTCCCCTAACTTTAAAATGATGTGTCAATCCAGTATCTGCCATTAATCGATTGTTAAGTAACATATAAAAAAATACAAATGCCCTTCCGATGTTATCTAATTAATTTTTTATCAACCATTTAAATGCCCTTTTCAAAATTAAAATACTATTTATCATCTTCTTTCTTAATAAGAAATAAAAGAGGTATAAGTTTTACAAGGGAATTGTAATGATATTACTCCCACAAAAACCAAACAATTCCYCTCAAATCCATCAACAGCAGGTTCCCCTGCACGCGCTGGTGTTTCTATTAAAACCAGAGAAAACATAAAATACCTGCATGCCGTTATGGGTTTGTTCTGTTAATTATTACGTGTGACCTTCCGAGACCTATGGTTCCAAAGTGCTGTATAATTATTACGTATTTACGTGTGACCTTCTGATCACCTCTCTCTATATATACATCACTGTTTTCAAAACAGGACCGGACTGGACGGTCAGATTGGAAAAATCGGGAACCGGTTATTTGACCGGTTTCATTTTCCTCCAAAACTGTTTTTTTCCCTAAAATTGTTGATTTTGGTCAGTAAACCATTGAACCGGCTGATTAGCCGTTTGAATGGTTTTGACCGTTTTCTAATTTTTTAAATTTTTTTATTTTTTATTAGAATGGGCCGACCGTTCGAACCAATAATCGGACCCCTGACCGATTCAGTCACCAGTTCGTTTTTAAAAACCATGCTACACACTACTATTCAGAGTTCTTTCTTCAAAATCAATCCTTCAGACTTCGGTACAATAAGATCCGGAAAACTATTGTGACGATGAGCGGAGACCCTTACATCCTCCACACCAATGTGTTTGCCCAAGGGAAGGGCAATTGTTGCTGCATTGGATGGGGCCAAGGGTAATACGATAACTTTGCTTTTGGCCAAAGCTGATGTATCCAATTCAAGGAGAGAACACACGTCAGAGGCCCGGGCTGTTATTCCAAGGGCGAAGATTCTGACGGTCAAATTAATTAAGTACTTGAAAGGGGTTTGACCAGGCTTAAGACGAGGGCTCAAACAAGGTCCCCGGAGAGAAGTAAAGCTAAAAAGCAAGAATGAACTAGATGCTTTACTTGAAGTTGAACACCCCCTTTTATACTTGACATTTCCATGGAATGGTTGAAGATAATTAGAGGTGGACGCCAGGATGTCATCCGATTGACGCCACGTTGCGCCATCCGGAACCCTGCCATATGCGCCTATATCAGCAATAGAGAACAGCAGTTCTATCTCTGGTTTGACCCCACCAAGGATTTCCACACCTATTCTTTCTTTTGGAATCCTCGGCAAATCATATAGGTGTACAGTGCTTAATTTGTATATAAATTAAAATGGGTCTTCTCAAACTATATAACCATTTAATTTTAATCTGTGTTTGCTGCAATTTTCTTTCAGTTTCTCTGTGGACGGCGCACATATCAGAGTGTTCAGAAACATGAGTCTGGCGTTGCTTTCCCCAACAAGCAACCCATGAGGGTTTACGCCAGCTTATGGAACACAGACGATTGGGCGACGAGAGGTGGGCTTGTGAACACTGTTTCAGTCTTTCTTCAGGATTTGATTTTGGGTCACGGAGGACTGTTTCAGTCTCAGGTAGGTAGAAGATGATGAACAGTATTTTTAAGTAGTTTTGATATTTAAAAAGTTTTAAATCGCACGTATCAACACTTCATACAGATTTAACACGCTTTAATTAAAAGTTCAGAGTGAAGATACTTAAATTGGCATGTTTTAAAATTTGAGGACCTAAGTGACACTAGGCTTACTAATGAGGAATTTTCCCTTTATGTCATTTTATGTGTCAATACATGCTATACCCCCCTAACATTTATTGTTGTAATCTTATTTTGATGTAAAACAGCTTTGAAAAGATAACCTAGAACTTATTTTTCATTTTTTTTTGCTGCTTTTGTTTTTTTAATAGCTTAAAATATCCAATGGATCTAGGTGAAGAGTTGAAGATTAGATAAACCGAGGTTCAAAGGGACGGGGCTGATGGACTAATATGGAGTATGGACACTTTCTCCTTCAAGTAAAATTTCTTTGAAAAGTTGAAATCGGCTTATAAACAAATTAGAACTGAGATTGCTTCTTCTTCAAAAGATGAATGACGTTCAAACAAACCTGGAAATTTTGTGGTCCTCTAAGCTTATCCCTCCTGGAATAATGATGTTTGCTTGGCGATGTTTGAATGGTGCCCTTCCTTGTATGGCTGACTGAGTTAGCTGAGAGATATTTGACTTATATTGATGGCTTATGCCCGATTGGAAAATTGAAAATGAAGAAGCTATTTCTCACATGCTTTTTGATTGTGTTTTGTTAAAGAGTACTGTGTGGTTTAATTTGGTTCTTATTTGGCTATTCGTACAGATCAAGGTATAAGGAAGTCTCCTTGAAGGACTGGATCTGGGTGTGGAAATTAATTAATGCTTGGCGTCTCCAAACTCTTTAATTTGATAGTTAATCAGTTGATGGGTTGGTTATTTCATGGAGTATTAATTTCGAAAAAACATAGAAACCGTGTTTCTTTAACATGGTTCCTGCTAATACAGGTTCTGGGATTATGGCTAGCTACTAGTGCCTTATTTGTTGTGTGAAATTATGAAACAGTTGGTTCATCTGCATACAGTGAGGTGGGATCGATGTGGTGATCATTGGGAGAAGCTCCTAGCTAGCTAGGCATGGTGAACTTAAAATTGATTAATTTTGATGGTGCTTCATTCAACTAAGAATGGTGCTGGTATTAGTGTAAGGAATTCAGAAGGAGAGAATGTTACTGCTAAGAGTATGGCTATTTTTTTTACCTCTCATTGTTTTGCATCTGAATTTGAAAGCGTTGGCTGTCTACGTACTCACTGAGTGTGTTTTCTGTAATTGTGGAAAGTGATGCACAAGCACAGCTTATCACACGGTTGCGCACTGATGAGTGAGAATGCTGAAACCCCCTGGAAGATTATTTGGTCGGTGGGGGGTAGAAGATTGTAAAAAAGAAGCTTTTAGCAAGGAAGAATTAATTAATGTTGCTCATCCGTTGCCATAGTAGCCACTGGCAAGCATTGTGATACTGAGGCCCCTGCTGATATTCTGGATGAGCATTTTGTCGAGATGAAATATACAAATGCTTAATTTATGACCATTTTATCTTCAAAGAAAAAAAAAAAAAAGAAAGAAAACGGACTTGAATTTGTGGCCTAATCACCAAGATGGTTCTTTCTTCTTTGTGGTTGTGGACTCTGGAATCATAATTAATATTGTATTTACCATACAAATGCCAGTGCGATCAAAAGGGAAACCTTAACCTTGATAAGAGAGAAAAGTGGAGAGATGACATCTAATTAAACTTGCATTGGCAAGGCAATTTCAAAGAGTTTATAAAAAAATCAGGTAATGATATTCAATTGACTTATATAACGAAAATCCAAAGATTTTTTTTTTCTTTTTCTTTTTTTTTTGGTGTTAAGAAAATCCAAAGAGTTTGTGCGAACAAAACAAACATACCGAAATTTGAAAATCAATACCCTTTCGGCATCATCATCATGTCATAGACATGTGTTTCCGGCAGCATAGATTTTCCCCATTCCCCATTGATAAGTGATATTCTAATCAATTAAAAGCAGGGGAAGTTTCAATACAATTCAGAATTTTTCCTTCTATTAATTTTAATTAAATTTTTTTGGTTCAAATACAACCAAGATTTCAATTATGTATGACTAAGTCTAAAATCTAAAATCTTTCATTGATGTTCATCTCAACTAAAACCAAAATTTCATGGAATTCCAATCCAACAATTAAATAATAAATACCATGAAAAAGAAGAAAAATGACTATAATACAATCATGCTCCCAAAATCAATTACCGTTAATGGATAAATATCTAAAAAATGTCGTTTAGTTATAAACAAAATACAAGAGAGGAGGTGGCTTGCCGTGTTCTCCTTTCCAATTCTTTTCTTTCCTTCCTCCAATCTTCCTTGATCTTCCTCTTCAATTTTACGCCGAGTCAAAGCAAGTTGGCCAAGAATCAAGATACCCTTCTCTCTTTCTGTAACTATAATCTTTAAAATAATACAAACCCATAACAGAAGGCCATAAAAAGAGAGATCTCCCCTTCTCTTCTTCTTCTTCTTCTTCTTTAACTTTTCCAAAATTATTTCTGATCCATTTCCCATTTCTTAGTTGTATTATCATTCTTCTCTTATTATTAGCATTCAAAATTTCTGGATATCTCTCTTTCTTGCTCATCTCTAACTTTCTGTTCATATCTCTCAATGGAAGTATCAACTTCCTCGCCTTTATCAGTCCATTCAATGGAATTCTCCCCCCTCTTTCCCCACCTCCGTCGACACAAGCCCTCCCTCTCTCTCCACAACCATTCTTTCTCATCAAAACCTAAGTCTTCAATCGACTGCCGTGGCCGCTCCATGTTCCTCCACGTCGACCCACCTCGCCATTTCTCTCCCCCCGCCTCTTCCATCTTCGGCATCTCCATCTCTCGCAACAAAATCCCATCTAGGTCCAATTCAATTCCTCTCAAGATCCGCAAGACCCATCGGATACCGCCCATCTCGGCGGTCTTTGAACGGTTCACTGAACGGGCTATCAAGGCCGTCATGCTTTCTCAGAGAGAGGCCAAGGCCTTAGGCAATGACATGGTCTTTACCCAGCACTTGTTATTGGGTCTTGTCGCTGAGGATCGATCAGTCCATGGGTATCTCGCTTCTGGGGTCACAATTGAGCAGGCCCGTGAGGCTGTTCGTGCCATTTGGGGCGATGATGGTGTTAACTCAAACTCCGAGTCTTCCGCGAGTACTAGTGCCAAAAACTCTGCCGCAGCTTCCACGGATGTGCCTTTTTCTATTAGCACAAAGCGTGTGTTTGATGCTGCAGTGGAGTATTCAAGGAGTAAGGGTTATAATTACATTGCTCCTGAACACATTTCTATAGGGCTGTTCACTGTTGATGATGGAAGTGCTGGCCGTGTCCTTAAGAGGTATAATTTCCGAGTTCCTTTGGATAATTTGCAGGAGTTGTATCAAATTTTTCATTCTTATATGCGGATATGCCCATAGCATTGTTGCTTCAATAGATTTTTTGTTTTTTTATCTAACAATTTGGTTGGTATCCTTGTAGGTAAATATTGGAATTTCTAATAGCTTTTAGTTGCTATGAAAACTTTAGGCGATGCCCATGTGATCCTTCGGCTTTCTTCAAAACAATGGCTATTTGAATTTGGATTACATTGCTTGGCATTTTTGTGTTTATAACAACCATACTCCGTTTGTGAATTGATGCCTCCAAACCTGGTTTTGTGTGGAGAATTTGTGTTCCAATTGCCCATGCTAATATCATTTCTGTAAAATGGTGTGTCTCTGTGGAAATCTTACACATTGAACTGCATATTCTTACTGATTTTTTTGGGTGAAATGTGTGATACCCATTCTATTTGTCTCTTTTTAATGGATTAATTACAATCCTGTGGATGATTTATTCTTTTTTTTTATATATGTTTTTTTGGTCTCAAGAACTTCCTTGTATGCCTTTCCCTCTTAAATTAGTTTTTGAGTTTTCTTTTCCATTCTCCTAGAGAAAGGAAAACTCAATAACTACTCTGAGTCCTGGCAGACTGAACAGCATACTTTGAAGGAAACACAATTTCTTCTCAATAACTAGTCAGTTTCTGTTGCTCTTCTAGACCTGAGAAGGATTGGAATAGACATAATTGGTCAAGCTTTTGTTGCCAATGATCTCAAAGAAAAATGTGATATTTATGAGAACAAAAAAATAATAATTTTCACCTTTTTATTTCTTTTGTTCTTTTTAGTTTGGTTCCTTTTGAGGGAAAGCATTTCCAGGGTGCATGACATGATTGTGGATAATTGTGTAGAAGTTATGTTGGACTACAAGTTGTGCCTTGTAATTATTTCCAAGGAACCCATTAGGGGTAGGAGTGCAAATCGGGTTGCCTGATTTGAACAATTTTAACTACATCGGCCTCAGATTGTGCCTGTACCCAGTCAAAATTTAGGAAACTCTCAAACCCAATTTGACTCCCTAATTGGGGAGATACAACTGGTCTAACTAAATTACCATTTTTCTTGATAGAGCACAATGTGTAGAAGAGGATTCATGTAGCCAGCCCCAAGTTGGAATTAAGGCTGGGTTGAATTGCAGCTTGGAAATTGATGTTTTTTTTTTACCTTAAACATATGAGTTTCGAACAAACATGTATACATCAATTTACAATGAGTTTGAAATGGTGCTAGTTTCAAACTTTTACAATGTATAATTGGTATATAATGTATTAATGCACTGATGTATGTATTGGTGAAATGTACATACTACAATTTATGAGAAAAATGAATATGATCACAGATTGGGAGCAGATGTCAATCATTTAGCAGTTGTAGCAGTCTCCAGACTTCAAGGAGAACTTGCCAAGGAAGGTAGAGAATTGCCTGCTGCATCAAAACAGATGCGCAGTAAACCTTCTTCTGAAAAAACATCAGTTTTGAAGTCCTCCGGGAAAAGAGAAGGTGGTGTATAGATGTTTGTTTATCAAGATTAATTTGGCATCTTCCAATTGATTTTCAACTTCGTGTCTTAGGAAGAATGCTAAGTTGTTAAACTATTTCCCTCAGAGAAAAGTGTCTTGGCTCAATTCTGTGTGGATCTTACTGCTCGAGCTAGTGAAGGACTTATTGATCCTGTAATTGGTAGAGACCATGAAATTCAGAGAATTGTCCAAATCCTTTGCCGAAGAACCAAGAATAACCCAATTCTTCTAGGTGAACCAGGAGTGGGAAAAACAGCTATTGCTGAAGGGTTGGCAATTAGTATTGCAAATGGCGATGTTCCCATTTTTCTTTTGGTGGGTTGGTGTCCTTTTATTATTTAATTCTCCTCCTATATCCTCCATGTTCATCCAGTATTTTGCCAATGCCTTTCTTAAAGAAGTTGCATGTTACAACTTTCTTAGTGCTACTATTTCATGTGCAGACAAAACGCATAATGTCCTTGGATATAGGTCTATTAATGGCAGGTGCAAAAGAGAGGGGTGAGTTAGAGGCAAGGGTCACTACCTTGATCAGCGAGATACAAAAAGCAGGTAAACATATTTATTAGAACTTCATGGAAATAAACATGTTCTTTTGTTCTGTCTAATATGCCCTATATATGCAAAATATTGCAGGTGATATCATTCTATTTATTGATGAAGTCCACACACTTATTGGATCTGGTACAGTTGGAAAAGGAAACAAAGGATCAGGCCTTGACATTGCAAATTTATTGAAGCCTTCACTTGGAAGGGGTGAGTTGCAGGTAATGGTTCATGCCATGATGTTTTGGCACTGAGTTTTGTTCTTATATGGCCATGTTCCCTGGAAAACATGACATATAGGTTTTCAAAATGTTAGATAATTTATCATTATTAATATTGTATAACCAGTATGCCATGGTTAGCGGAGACCATAATATGTATGACATACCTAGATAAGAAAGATTGTTTTTTTTTAAACAATAGGTAAGAAATGATATCCAATAACAAGAATCACTCATCAGGCAGAAAGTGAAAAATTAGATACTTGAGCTTGAACCCATTCTTAAATTAATATTCCATGATCTGTTTTATATGTCGAACTAGTTTGACTCTATCAAAGACATGTTTAAAAAGTATCTGAGGCACCATACTACCTGAGGAATTCCTTGAAGCAAGCAGCCTTAAAACACAATGCTGGAGACTCAAGTTTGAAAATGTGAGGTACAGTGTTGCACGGACTCAGATATGAGAGTTGGAATATGACATGTGTCCAAGAGTCTGACTGGGCAAGCTGAGTTGGAATATGACATGATATGGTCATCATATCATCATCTAAGCCTTGTCCCATCTGTATGGGGTCAGCTACATGAATCTTGTTTTGTCATTCCATTCTGCTCAGTACCGTATCCATTGTTAAATTATGGGCTCATAAATTTTCTCACTACTTTAGGCCATGTCCTTTTTGGTCTTCCTGTAGCTCTTCTAGCCCCCTTAACTTATGACAGATTACTCCTTACTGTTGCTGTATATGGTCTTCTCAACATGTGCCTAAAGCCATCTTAGTCTACTTTCTCTCATTTTATCACCTATTGGAGCTACTCCTGGGTATCTTTGAATAAGTTCTTTTCTGATCCTATCTATTTTTTCTGGTCATCCATCTCACATTTACATTTCTGCCACACTCATACAAATTTGTTATTAAAATACTAATTGTATTTAAAACATAGATATTATTAGGATACTTCGTTTTTTTTTTTTTGTTTTTTTTTTGAATTCTAACATTATATACCTGCAAAAATGTCGCCTTGTTACTAAGTAGCGTTTAATGTTAAAAATGTCATTCATCTTGTACATTAGTTGTTCATTTGTGCCAAGGAGATAAAAGGGAATTATTACATGGAATTCCTCAGAACCCAGGAAGACACCGACTCACACACAACGTCCATTTAGGAGAATCCATGGAACACTGGCAAGCTGTATGTGCACTGCATGTACTTATGCTGCAACTTATGCACAGTTGTTGATTGTAAATGAGATCTACAATTTCTATTACCTTTTTTATATACAAATTAATGATTGAATATAATGTGCCTTTTGAAATGCTAGTGAACTAATGGGGTAAAGCTTAATAACTAATATGTCATTATCTGCGTTTTTCATTGTTTTTCTGTGGTGCTGAGTTATCTTTGGTGTATTTGCCTCAAGCTTGAGAGACTTATTCAATGACTGAATATAATATGCCTTTTGAAATGCTAGTGAACTAATGGGCTAAAGCTTAATAACTAATATGGCATTTTCTGCATTTTTCATTGTTTTTCTGTAGTGCTGAATTATCTTTGGTGTATTTGCCTCAAGCCTGAGAGACTTGTTCCAAGTTTTGTATCTTTGTTTTTCAATTTGTATGCAATTCAGACTGACAACCCACTCCCTTCCCAGTGTATTGCATCTACAACTGTTGATGAACACAGGATGCATTTTGAAAAAGACAAAGCATTAGCTCGGCGATTTCAACCCGTGTTGATTAATGAGCCAAGCCAGGTAATCTTCGATGTTTTCTCTTTATATATCTGTATTAATTTGTATACCAAAATCTGCTTAGATTTTGCTTTTAACATTTTGTAGGAGGATGCAGTTAAGATACTGTTGGGCCTAAGGGAGAAGTATGAAGCTCACCACAAATGTAGATTTACTTTGGAAGCCATAAATGCTGCCGTATATCTGTCAGCAAGATATATTCCAGATAGGTATCTTCCTGATAAGGCCATTGATCTTATTGATGAGGCTGGAAGTAGGGCACGCATGGATGCCTACAAGAGGAGGAAGGAAGAACAAACTTCTGTACTAAGAAAATCACCCAATGATTATTGGCAAGAAATCAGAGCTGTTCAGGCCATGCATGAAGTGGTAAGAGCTTTGCTTGCTAGTTAGCAGAAATTGTTTCAGGATTTGCCGGATTGATCAGTACTCGTTTCTGTTTTACATTCAGGTCCTGGCAAATAAAATTAAATATGCCGATGTTGCCTCTTTTATAGAGGATGACACCAAACTCATATCAGAGCCTCCTGTGCCCTCCACACTTGACAATGATGAGTATGATACTAGGTGCCTAATTTTTTTTAATCAAGTATGCAAATACTAGGCTCAAGACATCTAACATTTATTGTGTCTCAGATTTGTGGTAGTAGGACCAGATGATATAGCAGAAGTGGCTTCACTTTGGTCTGGGATACCAGTTCAGCAACTTGATGCAGATGAAAGAATGGTTCTAGTGGGTCTTGATGAGCAACTTAGGAAGCGGGTTGTTGGCCAAAATGATGCTATTTTTGCAATCTCTCGAGCTGTAAAGAGATCTCGTGTTGGCTTGAAGGACCCTGATAGACCTATAGCAGCAATGCTTTTCTGTGGCCCAACTGGTGTTGGCAAAACTGAGCTTGCAAAAGCTTTGGCAGAATGCTACTTTGGATCAGTAAGTACCTACACACAATGGGCAAGGGGTGGCATCTATTATGAATGTGGCTGATTTTCAGAACTTGGAGATATTGATTTTTTATTGTGAAGCTACCCTTTTATAGCAGGCAAATCTTTTTAGTATTAAGTTAAACTGTTTTTAGCACCCCCCCCCCCCACCTTTTTTTTTGATGAATAGCAGAACAATTTTATTGGAAGAAGATTAGAATTACCAAAGATTAGCCATCCCAGAGGTTGAGATAGACTGAACCCAAAAAATTACATTAAATGGAAGCCCCTTCCCCTTAAAACAGAGAGAAGTCCCATTCCCCCAAAATAGGTTCTCTCTTTCTACCCCTTGTTCTGCGAACCTGCCTGCCAGCCCATTTGCAGATTTGCAAAGGGCACTTTCCTTCATTTTGAATCCACCCCACAACTACTTTCGAGTCCCCTTGTATTTGTGTAAGAGAGAGAGAGGGAGGGAGGGAGAGACTTCCATCACCATTTTTGAAAACTCCCCCAATACTGGAGGGGCCTGGCCGCCTGGGTTACCTCTGCTGCAAGCCTGCAAGCATTGAAGTTAAGCTTGATCAAATGGTTTGGTGGTGGTTCCCATACAGGCTGTGCAGCCACCCTACTAATGAAAGAGTTTGTTATCAATCTCAAGTTTTTTACTAACATCATTGGTGGAGAAGGAACTTAACAACCTCAATAATTTTACCTAATGAACCACTCTCACCGTTATGAGATCAATAAGAACTCTTCTGTCCTGAGTTTTTTGCTTGAATAATCTTCTGTTTCTTTCCTCCCAAACAGCCCATAAAGTGCAGCTCTGGAACATCTCCATAGAATCTTTTCCTCTACTCTTGGGAGGGACAAAGAAAGTGTTGTTGAATATGGACTGCAGATTCAAAGGAGGTGTCCATCTGCACCTAAAGAAAGCAAAAAACCACTCCCAAATACCAAACACAAAAGAATAGGAGCTTAGTGAATGATGAGTACTTTCCCCACTCACTTTATAGAGAAGGCAAACATGTAGAGATAAACACCAATGTGGTCTCTTTCTTTGCAGTCTCACTAGTGTTGATTTTAGCATGATAAATATCTCAACAGAAAGCCCTCACCTTAGGAGGGATTTAACCACTTCATACTTCTTTCACTTGAAAACTAGGGGAAGGGTCATGGGCAATAAGGGAATCGATGGAGGCACAAGTGAAGTTGCCAGAAGGACAAGGGAATCACACTCTAGCATCAGACTCTGATGGATCCACCACCACCCCTTCAACTATCTCCACTACCTGAATACTCAATGGAATTTCCACCTTCCTCAGGCTTTCATCTAAACCCAAAATTCCAAGAAAGCCCAACAGAGGATAGGGATACAAAGTGGGAGATAGTTTTATTTTTAAAGGTCGAAAGAGAGTGCAATGATGGAAATTTATCTCTAAGAGAAAGATTCTCCCACCATAAGACTAAGATGTCTAGAAGCACCCCACCGTGGAAATTTATCTTCATGGATGCATAGTTGCATGCATACATATAAATTTATTTAATATTTATGGGAAAATCTATGCTGCCGGAAAGACATGATACTGGAAGTGCTTTGACCAATCAATTCCCCCTCCCCCCGGTGAATTTTGATAAATACCACCTGATTGGTTATCACTTTTATGATACCGGTTCATTGATTACAAGTTTTTTTGGCATCATGTCTTTCCAATATCATAGTCGAACCCAATATTTATACATACAAATATGAAGATATGTCAGGTTCGGGTTGGGTTAGGTTGCCAAGGGCTCATTCCCTAACCCAACCTGAAATTAAGTTGGGTTATATTTTTCAATCCTTAACCCAAAATTCAACCCACCTTTTTTGAGTTTGTTTCAGGCTAACCTGGCCCAAGTTGCACCCCTACTTTTGGGGAGATTTTTTTCCTATACTAATTTGAAGCAACAAAATGGTCCATTTTGAGCTTTATACTTTTAGCTCTTAACCACATGGAAAGTATGTAAATTGAAGGTTATCATGTTTGCATTAACAGAGGAACCAAAGTCTCTAAGACAGCTTATGCTGGATTATTCATACATAAAATGTCACCTGTACTTGAGATAAACATCCCTGCATCTCCTGTACAAAGTTACGAGCTATGTCAGAAAGAATAGAAAATGATCCCAACCTTGTTTGGTATTATTTGTATGTCAAGTCTGATAGAAAGTAACAGAAAGGAGTAAACTAGGACATTTTCCCTGCACAGTGTGTTCCTCAGTTCAGATCAAATAAAATACTAATTGCTTTTAACATTTAAAGGTCAAGCACCAATCCTCTTATTGCATCTATGTATCCTTGATATTTTATGCTCCATTGTTAATTCCATTTCCCTGTATGTCATTATTGTAGGAGGCATCCATGCTACGTCTGGACATGAGCGAATATATGGAGCGGCATACAGTTAGCAAGTTGATAGGGTCACCACCAGGGTATGTAGGCTATGGAGAGGGAGGCATTCTAACAGAAGCAGCTAGAAGAAGACCTTTTACAGTGGTTTTGCTTGATGAAATTGAAAAAGCCCACCCAGATATATTTAACATCCTCCTCCAAGTATTTGAAGATGGCCACCTCACTGATTCTCAGGTTTGTGCACATTGTTATATGTTCAATATGAAGAGACTGACTGGGAAGATTTACCAAGTTTCTTATTTTTTCAAAGTTGAAACTGGTGTCAACATTGACTGATCAAACATAGTGTCATTTGGGATTGCTCCCGAGGTTAGAATATCCTTCTAGTGAAGCATCTTTCATGGAAGCACTTCTAGAAGGAAAAACTCACATAATTAGAGTACTTGGTGATTCATTTTTGTATAGAGGTTAGCTTTTAAACATCAAAATAGTTTGAGGTAAGGTATAGGTTGGTCAATAAAAAAATAATTGACAGATTATAGGGTTATTTGGCATTTAAAAGAAATCTTTAAAATAACATTTTTGTGCACATTGCACATGTTTTATTTTCAGCTTCTGCTGAGAGTGAGATGCGGATGCCATAAAAAGGTTTTACCAGATTCTGTTTCCTAATGGAAAATAAGCACTTCTAATTTAAATTATCAAAAGACATGTCAATACAGAGAATCACTTCACTGGCCATGAAGCTACAGAATAGAAGACTTCTAGGAGCAATCCCAAACTTGGCGTCTTGGCCTTGATAAATTTGGTCAAATTTCAATTGCATTATATCCTTTTATATGCTTTGCATATCCAATAATAGCTGCAGTGCTTCTTACTTTAGAAAGCATGGATTCAACAGGGGCGAAGGGTGTCATTTAAGAACACATTGATTATTATGACGTCCAATATTGGTTCTACCACCATTGCAAAGGGTAGACACATGTCCATTGGTTTCTTGATTGAAGATGATGGTGAACCAAGTTCGTATTCTGGAATGAAAGCCCTCGTTCTGGAAGAGCTTAAGGCATATTTTAGGCCAGAGTTTCTCAACAGGATTGATGAAGTAGTTGTATTCCGTCCTCTTGAGAAGGCACAGGTTTGTCTCGCACACAGATTATTAATAAAGACCAGTTCTTTATTGGCACATTGGTTATCAATTTTAGTTAAATGGGTCTCAACATTAAAGGCAACATTTTAGCTTGGTTTTCTTAATCCCTAAGCAAAATTAAATCTTAGCATTAAATCACTAACAGTATCCTTTTACCTATTACCTTATATAAAAGGGAGGTTTTTATTCCCCCTTTTGCCGACTCTCAAACTTCTCCTTTCTTAAAATGCTAATAGTTTATCTTAGGGAAAATTAGTTATGTGGGCACTTGTAAATTTTTGTTTACAATTAAGAAATGTGAACCAAAATATTTGCAAAAAAATTCTTCTAATGGAAAATCTTGTTCACTAAGTCCTTATAATCACCTTGTGCCTTGCTACTTCAAAAATGGCTTTCCTATATCCAATAACCTTTTCTCTTGATTGTTAGTAACTTAGTATTATTGAGATGAGATTAATTAGAGATTAATTGGTTTTTATCTTTTGTTTTTCCTTTGCATTTGTAAACTGCTGAAGTGCATTTCTGACTTTCTTTTATTTTTCTTTTTTGATACTTATTTGATTAACATCCATTTATATTTGTAAAACATGACTCTAGGAAGGTATGTTTCAATCAAAATAACATAAGAGAAAGAATGTAAACAACTATTCTTCTTATTATCTAATAAAATATTAAGTAATGCAAATGGGATTTGTTATAGATATAGGACTTGTGGGCATAACCTTAGAAATAAGGAAACTTAATGCAAGAGGTTCACTGCATTAATCTGTGCAACATGTGACATGGGTAGTATGTATGAAACTAAGTTTTCATGGTTACTTGATTTGTTGTTTCACTTCATTCAGGTTAGCATTTAAAATTTGTAGCTCACAACGATTAAATAAAACTAATTAATTGGGTATTCTTTTTTTTATCAATAACAGAAACTTTCATTAATAAAAAAAGGGTAGTACAAAGGAGACTAGGGGAGAGGTAAACTCTCTTAATCCTCCCTTACAAAACAAAAAACGACTCAACTTACAAAATAGCCCAAAACAATTGTTCTCTTCCCACCCCTTGTTTAGCAAGGGTATCCGCAAAGGAATTAGCACTTCTTTTTACCCACTATAACTGAATTTCCAAACCTTGTGCTAGCCGGTTAAGCATTTTTTTTTTCATTAGCAAACTTCCATAGACCATTCTCTTCTTTGTGCAGCCATCCTATAACCAGTTTTGAGTCCCCTTTCAACAATAAGCTTGCGACAGTTCAGCTCCTTTGCCTTCTTCATTTCCTTCCATCACTGCCAAAATCTCAGCTCAAAGTGAATCACCTACACCAATAGGACCGGAAAAGATATCAATGACTTTCACATCCTCATCCCTAAAAGTTCCTCCAATTCTAGAAGGCCCCGGGTTACCTTCACTACTTCCATCAGTTCAACTTGATAAATCCAAAAGCTGGAGGAGACCAAATGGGACCAATCTTGGTTTTTGGCAGGGGCTGAATTAGCCACTTCCTTCCAACTTCTTCTCATCATATCTGTAGAGATGTACTCAAACATTTCTAGAGATTTCACCCAATGTACCACTCTAATAGTAATTGCTTCAATAATGCCCTCCCTGTTCCTTTCCTTTTCATTAAAAATCGTTGAATTTCTTTCTTCTCGTATTGTCTAGCAAATGGCAGCTCTGACACATCTCCAAAGAATTCTACCCCTCTTCTTTGGCCACCTGAAAAAGGAGGCAAACAAGCTTTGTACATCTGATGGGGGGTGTCCACCTGCAACCAAATAAAGAAAAAAAAAATCATTCTCAAATATGTGAAACAAAAGAGCAAGAGATTAGTAAGTGATAGCCGCTTTCACCATTAGCCTTAGGATGCACCAATTAGGTCTTTTTCTCTGTAGCAAGTCACTAGTGTTACATCTTCCTAGAAAGGCTTCCCAATAAAAAGCTCCAGTCCTTGGAGGAATCAGTTTAGCATCTTGGCTTTGGGATGCTAGTATATATAATGCATTATGCATGCTATTTATTTGACGAACCTACTATGCACTTTTTTATTATTTTTTTTGGTATTAATAGATAAAGGAACATACACAAAATGGGGGAGGGGGTAGTACAACCCAACAGTCCATTACAGATATATTTTAACTCTTCAGTACAACCTTACTATTGAGACTAAGCATCTCTACTTTAACCAATATTCGCAAATCAATTGGTGTTTGATTGCTTTTTGTAAATGTGTGAAAGCCTCCATATCAGCTTCTGATGTAAGATTGTGACAATCCTGGATCAAGTTGGAGATGCTCCACAATGGTTTGAAATATTAATTTAAGCAGTCTATATGGTTTTGGAGTAGAGACCATTACTTGGTGTAATGGTAAATCTCAGGATGGGAAGCATGAGAATGTGGGTTGAATCTGAGAGTGGCCAGTTTGTGCAAAAAAGAAAAAAAAAATGCCAAAGGTTTGGACTGTATCGAGTCTACCCCTCCCAAGACCCTGATAGTTGGGAACCAATATTGGCTAATGGTCTTTATACTGATTTTGGAGTCCCCTTCTATCCATATATTTTTTAATCCACTTTCTTGGGCTAGAATATGAGCTTCCTTTCAGCCCAGGCCTCTGCCACATTTTTAGTGGTTTTTCTGCTACCCACCATGTGGCAGAGGCCTAGGCTGCTAAGGTAGCTCATAAAGTGAATTAAAAAAAAAAACATGGATAGAAAGGACTCCAAAATCACAATAGATTGCCTAAATAAAATTTTTGAACCACCATGGATCTCCAACTTAATCCAATATTGTCACAATCTTTCATCAGAAGCTGATATGGAGGTTAAGTGTACTCATGCATTTCCAGAAAAGCAAATCAAGCAGATAGGTTAACCAAAATATTGGTCATAGTAGAGATGTTTGCAGTTTCAATAGAATAGATCATACTGAAGAGTTAACCATGAAGACTTGGTTTCGTGCTTATGCTAGCCATGTGCCATGTGTATCACACATAAAATCTGTCAGAGAGAGGAGGCGAAGATGGTGCAGAAGACTTGTACTATTAATGTTTTGCACAGTATGGAAAACACAGGGGTCATTGCTTGGCGCAATGATAAAACCACAGACTGACAAGCATAATGTGGGTTCAAGTCTGAGAGTGGACACTGTGCAAAAATGCCAAAAATTAGGTCTGTAACCAGTCTCCTCCCAAGGCCCCAGCTAACTAGGACCAAATTGGGTAATAGCCCTTATAGTAGTGTTTTCAACCCATTGTGAACTATCTGGTCAGACCCATCCACCCATCACCCAGCCAAGTTCCTAGGTCTGTTTAGCCCCCGAACTGTTTATATGCAAAAGAAATGTTGACTCAATCAATAACCAATAGTCCAGTCGCTTGAACTGCCTAATTGTTTGACCTAGTCAGCAGGTCACAGGTTAGACATTTAGGCCATTACCCAAATGATATTTCTCATTTATCATATTTATTTTTGTTAAATAAGAAAAAAGGGCCATTACCCAATGTTGGCCCTAGTTATCTGGGGTCTTTGGGAGGTGTAGACTAGATAGGAGAACCTAGCCTTTGGTTTTTTTTTTTTCACACTGGCCTCTTTCAGACTTGAACCCATTTCACACTTGCCAGCCTGAGATTTTATCATTATTTTTGTTTAATATGATGAACATATAATATTAGAGGCATGCCCAATGTTTTTGCAGTCTTTTCTGTTTTTTACATGTTATCTAATTATCTGATTTAGGACATCATGGGTTGACCTGTTTGGCCCAGACAGTTTAAGTGTTGAACAATTAATTCACCACCTGAAGGGAAAGGTTCTGTTCCTGGGTTATTTTTTAAATATTGCTTGTGATAGATTATTCTTTCTCCTGATTTACAAGATCTTTCCTTTGTCTTTTATTTTTCCTTGTCATCAAATTCCCAATTTTTCAAGGCATTCCATTTTTATGCTATTTTTTAATTATTTTCTTCTAAGTTCTTAACCAATAGAAATTGGCTTGCAAACTGGTTTCAATCAAACCAATCCAGAACTTAGGTTAAGGTTACAGAAAGTTAAATCATCTAGCCGAAGTAAACTTTTCTAAAACTAGTAATACTTGATGTTAAAACATGTAAGGGGCCCATTAATATCAGATTCTAGCATAAGTAATTCAGGCCATTGCCACTTCTTTTCAGATTATTGAGATTCTAAATCTGATGCTGCAAGAAGTGGAGGAAAGGCTTATGTCTTTGGGCATTGGTCTGGAGGTATCTGAGGCAATGAAGGATCTTATCTGCCAGCAAGGCTATGACAGAAACTACGGAGCTCGGTCCATGAGGAGGGCGGTCACCCTTCTAATTGAGGATGTCTTAAGTGAAGCACTTCTTGGTGGGAAATACAAACCTGGTGACACTGCATTAATAGATGTGGATGCATCTGGAATCCCGTATGTGATTAACCGGTCAGATTTTGATATTCATTTGTCTGATGCAACATCCATATTGTAGTTAAGATCTTTGACAATTCATAATTTAATCACTCAGTGTATATTGATCTGTATCGAGATAGAGATTTATTTTGTATAGTTCTAGGTAATTGTTTGATCCTGTATGACCCAGGAGAATGAGGTGCTTACATACAGGTTCTGTATATATATATTTGGGGAAAAGATGCAATTATTACTTTTTGTAACTGTTTGAGGCATTTCTATGATTGCCGAATATTCTCAATACCAAAGGGTGGAAGAGTTGTTTTCATGTTCAACCATTGAAGGCTTTGTGACCTTGGCTTAAACAGAGAGCTTCGAGTTCTTGTTTCTCGTGTATATGTAGAATTTCTTTATAGATGATCGTGTTCCATGCACTATTTTGGTATGAGATAGTAGCCTCATGTGCTCCACAAATCTTGAACAATGATCACATCACATCTGACCTAAACAGAGAGCTTCAAGTTCTTATTTCCTGTGCATATGCAGAATTTCTTTATAGATGATCGTGTTCCATGCACTATTTTGGTATGAAATAGTAGCCTCATGTGTGCTTCACAAATATTGAACAATGATCATATCTAGATTGTTGAATTCTTGTATTAAGACTGAATTGAGTTGAGTCGAGCTTGCTTTCAAACTACATGAAATCAAATGATCTTTTCAGGGATTGCCCTTGCATTTCAGAATACAAATTTACCATCTATAATTCACTCAGTTACTAATAAGATATTAGTAATGATTAAGGGAAAGAAAATGAGGGAAGATATTGGTGCAGCCTTAATACCCTATCACGTAGTCAGTTTGAATAGATGTCTTGTGATTTACTTCAGGTTTAACTTTGACGACCTTAAACCAATGAGCACAGCATACAATTTTGAGAATAAAGCCAGAATATTGTGATTTATCTGCCATAAAATTGCTACTCTATCTTGGATAGACACCATARCCTACTTAGGCCATGTTTGAGAGTGCTTAAAAATAAGTGCTTATTTTGGCCATTAAGCATTTATTGGTATTTGGGAAATAAGCCCGAAATAAGTGTGTATTTAAAAAATAAGGGCTTACATTTTAAGCCCAAATTTTCAGCTTTTTTTAAAATGCTTATACAATAAGCAGTTATTCAATCTTTTCTTCCAAAATTATCCCTAGTTGAATTTTAAAATACCACTTATAAAATTATCCCTAGTTGAATTTTATAAAAGCACTTTTATGGGAGCACTTTTACAAAAGCACTTTTGCGAAAGCACTTTAGGAAAGTACTTTTATGAAAGCATTTTTACAAAAACACTTTTATGAAAGCACTTTTACTTTTGTAAAAGTATTTTTATGAAAGTGTTTTGTAAAAATGCTTTCATAAAAGTACTCTCTTAAAAGTGTTTTCATAAAAGTGTTTTTATAAAAATGCTTTCATAAAAGTACTTTCTTAAAAGTGCTTTCAAAGGATGTATTTTGAAATTTTGAAAGAAAATGAAAGACAAAATAGTCACAAATGCTTATTTAAGTGCTTATTAGAAAAAAATACTACCAAACGTTCAATATAAAATAAGTGCTTATTTTAAAAAAAAATTGGGTGCCAAATGCAAATAAGTGTTTATTTGAATAAGCACTTGTTTTTAACTTAAGCACTCCCAAACATGGCCTTAGAACCTTATCATCGATGAAAGGATCATTAGTTTGCATTTTGCAAGACTTGGATGTTCGTTCTGGCTGACATTGTACCTGTGGTTTTCAATTTACGTGCTCATATATCAGCCTTTCCAAACTCGAATTAGAATCAAAGTCCACCGGAATTGGAATTGAAATGGTCTATTCATCCTACTTGTTTTGTTCAGATGGGTATTGGAATTAGCTAGAATTGATTCTCATTCCTGAGGGGGAGGAATGCCATTCCACTAGGAATGAGAATGGGATTTTGATTTTGCCCAATCAAACAGTTGGGTCTAATTCCAATTCCAGGCCTCTCTATTCCCACAAACCAAATGGACCTTCAAGGTGCAGTGTTGACATGAATTATATCTTTAGGTAGAGTTTAACTATGAGGGGGAGTGTTAAACAGTGTATGCCCTTAGCTCTAATCAGATTGATGTACATTTTGACATTTATTGTAAATGAATAAAGAACATAATTCATTCATGTTATTATGGGGTGTTTCTATGTAATACCCTTAAACTGGACACTTATGATACTCGTGTTAGTTTAGAATCTTCATAGTCGTTGGATAAACTTAAGGAGGTTTATCCTGACAAGGCTGACACTAATGTGTTGCCAAGTCAGTTGGGATGGCTTGTCTCAGCTGCTAGGGTGAGACCTGAAGCACATGTCGTGTGGGTTTGCTTGAAACCCTGAACTGGACCATTTTTCAGTTATGCCTTGGAGACAGATGGGCAAAACTAGAAAGTTACACCTAACCCCTAGACTCGATTATAGTGTTGCACTAGGTGTTGGATTGGGTTATCTTTGATATACCAATCAGTGAGATCCTTAGAGGGGGTCAAAACCTAAGTATGTTGGGGCAGTCCGAGAATTCACCTGAGTGGGTGATCATAGTGACAGGATCAACCCCTTTGTCGGACAAAGTGAATGATCGGGGAATGCACTCTCTTTGATGAAAACCTAAACTACCGGCAGTTGATTTCAAACTTGTTGAGATTTGTTTTTGCAAAATATATTTATATAGAGATATACATATATATTATGATTTCACAAAATATTTGCAAAATGTTTTAATTCCCGGGATCCATGTGAGCAGAGAGTGCAACACTGTACCTTGCAGTCGAGGGAGAGGTCCTCTCTTGTCGGGGCAGTGTTTAATCATCATGGGCTAAGAGGTTAAGTGTAAGACCATTTAGGGCTTTTACCTGATGGGCTAATCTCACTTAAGTCCATAGTCCTTGGGCCTTCATAAGGTGGCTAGACCTAGAGACCATTTAGTGTAAATGTTGGGCTTGCTAAGAGCCCATATTGATGGGCTTAGGGGTTCACTATCTTCAGCAGTGAATTTGGCCARACCTTGTAACAGATGATAGGCTGAAACCATATGGTTTTTGTGGAGATCAATGCTAAGATCCCACGCCATACAAAGAAAGCCAAGCTAGCCAGCAAATTAAAGAGGAAGTGAGCATGATAACTTAATGGGCCTAAAGCCCAATTCGAACTAACTTAATGAGATTAATAAGAGATGGGCGAATTTGAGTTTAGATATACTTCTAGATCAGCAAGAGGATAAGATATGTCTTATCCACTTAGGAGTTTCAGATCTAAATAGAGATTTGGATCAAAGAACCCTCTCCTTATATGATTAGGAAGCTGATCCAAGAAGGGTTATAAATAAAGGGAGAAATCCTGTTAAACACTTTTTGCAAAGCCCAGATCTTCTCTCTGTTCTTGCCGCCCTACCCATTTCGATCTCCACATTCTTGGATTGGTCAAGAAAGGTTCTTGATTTTGATTCTTGCTTGAAGAATCAGATCTGAAATTGTGCTCACATCCCTTGTGTGATCCTTGTTGAAGGATTGCAAATCTTGTTGAAGAATTGCTTTGTTGATCCTGTCTCACTCTAAGTTGTGTCATCTTTAGTGGAGGTGGGATTTGGTACCCTCTTTAGGCGTGAACACCTACGTTGAGAGCTACTTGCGTGGATTATGTATTAGGTATATCACTCCCTTAATCTTGGTTGCAGATTTGGTCCGGCTTGTTTCAAGAACGAACCTTAACAAATGCAGTTTTTCTAAATCGGGGAATAGGATTCCCGAAAGGGAGAAAGAAATTTTTAAAATTTTGCCCAGCCACCCTGCATGGTTTGGCCATCCATATGATGGATCTCCCTTCCCTTCAGAGGGGGGGTTAATTGGTCAAAGCTCTTCTGGTATTGTCTTTTTGGTGGCATGGGTGCCATAGATTTTTTTTTTATCAATAACAGTAACTTTCTATTAATAATAAACATAATTAAAAATAAGGAAGGGAAGATAAACTTTCTTAACTCACCCAGTTGGGTAGGAGCCTCCATAAAAGCAATAAAAGGAAATTACAACTTTGCACAAAATAAAGAATCTCAAGCCACCCATTGCTTAGCTAACCCATCTATAAGAGAGTTAGCAGATCTCTTCACCCAGCTGTACTTCACTTCCATATCCTTTGTTAGCCACTTGTGAAGTTCCACAACCCTGCCTCAACCATCCTCTTGTAGCCATCCTACTACCACCTGCGAGTCACCTTCAACCACAAGTTTCCTTATATTCAACCATAGATTTTTCCTACTAACATGATTCATGCCAGCAAAATACTTTCATCCATTATTGGAAGGATAGCCCATTGAGGGTGGACCTCGGTGCAATAGTAGGGTTACTCCATTACGACCTAGGTAACAAGGGCTAAGGGGTGCAAGTTGGGTGGATTGAGCCAGGTTTTAGCTTAATCTAGGCCCAATCCTAAAATTTAGGCTTAAAGCCCAAGCCTGGCAAAGGCAGGTCAAGCTCAAATTATCCAATCTCGGCCCAACCCACACTAAAATTTTATGTATTCAAATTGAGCTTGTGTCTAAGTGAAGTTTAGGTTAGGCCTGCCCAAGTTGCACCCCTACCAAGGTTCAAATCTTGGAAACAGCTTCTATATGTGCAAGGGTAAGGTTGAGTATATGTCCCTCCAAGACCCTGTTTTTGCTTGCAAGAGCCTTGTGTGCACTAGGCTGCCCTTTTTATTGGAAGGACAACCCATTCTGGTTATCAATTCTAACACCCAAATGAGAACCAAACTATATAATATAGATATATTAAAACAAGGCGGTGAATAAATTCTTTTTTTATTTTTTTTTATTCCATGTCATTTTTTAGACAACCAATGAGATGCATTTTCCTAGAACCTAAATAATCTCCTCCTAAACTACCTCCTCCACTATCCCTCGCTTTCTCCAAAATTATCTCTAATTCCTATGTATCTTCTAAATTATCTCTAATTCCTATTTATCTCCAAAATTATCTCTAATTTAGTAGAGAGTTTCTCTCCTAAATTATCCCTAATTCCTATCTATCCTCTCCCATACTTTTTATCTATATTAAATATTTTATAGATTATTTAAATATTTATCATAACTAGATTTTAAATGGTTAAAATAACAGAATTATGTAATAAATTTAAAAAAAAAATCTTCAAAGTAGAAAAATAATTATCACATAATATTGAAATTAATAATAATTCAATGTATTACAAAATTAATAATGAAATTATGTAATAATAGTATAAATTATGATTTTATGGATAATTAAATTCAATAAATAAT